ACTCACCCAGTGCTTCAAACACTCATCACAGTGTTAGCCAGGATGCTCAGCGCTGTGTTTAGTCACCTTGAGATACAAAACATTAAACCCCTCTCAAAAAGGTGGTTGTGAAGTGGCTTGTCTAGAAACGAAAGGATAGTATTAAGCCTAATATGAACATTTACGGTATTTAAAAAATCACCAGTGACTTGTCTGATTTTCCCCCATTGTCCTCGGCAGTGTTTGGCCCCAGGAAGCCCATTAAACGTGGACAGTGCTGCTATTTCATCTGGCTGTGGCCGAGCTGCTTTGCTTTGCTTTAATGATGTGCTGGAATGCACGATGCCCATAGGGTCTCCATTAGAAGAACTTTTACTTCTGGGACGACCATGAAGTTAAAGGCTTAAAAGAGGCATCAGTTTACAGCCTGGTGGGAATTACTAGCAGACTGGAGTACTAACTCCTGACTGCTCCACTAATAGAGCGACTTGTTTTAAATAAACAATCGCCAACGGGACCCTGTGGAAATATTTGGGCCTCTTGAAGCACTCACCGAACCATCCGAGGGAAGACGGGAGAAGTGGCAAGAGATGTTTAAAAGATTTTCGCTTTAAAGAAGAAATACGCGTGTGGATGTGTGTATCCACATCCCCGGATCGGGATGTTGGCCAGGCTTGACCCCCTACCCGCGAACCCCTCCGGCAGGGGGTCATGAGCCTTCCTCCCCCTCTTCTTCCTCCCTCTCCTCTGGCCGCGCTGGGTTACAGCCGAACCGCTGGGAGCGCTGCATGAAGGGGAACTGTTAAAAAAAGGGGTTTTTTCCCCCCAGAAAAGGGGAGCGGCGGCCGCGCTGGCGCTGAGGGCGCGGCCCGCGGTGTCCCGGCGGAGAGCGCCACCCAGCGGCGGCGGGCGGGCCCCGGTGCGGGCCGGGCCCGGCCCCGCTCCGCCGGTACCGGGAGCCGCTTTTGTTTATCCAGCGGCGTTTCCTCCCTTTGTGGCACGGCCGAGGGGGAGCGAAGGGGGGCTCCGGCTCCCGATCGGGGGCTCTGATCAGGCCGATGGGCTCGAGCAATCAGTTTCCCAGATTACTTGTATTTAATACACAATGCATCATAAAGCAAATCCCTCATCCTGACAGGGAGAAAATAGAACAGCTCATAGCGCGAGCCGGGCCAATTTATGGCTAAATTAAAAAAAAAAAAAAAAAAAGCAGGAAAAAAAAAAAAAGAGAGAGAGAGAGAAGAGAGAGAGAGAGAAAAAAATAAGAAGGAAAAAAAAATCGCCAACAATGGGGAGTGGAGGGAGGGCAGGAACCCACGGCCTCGCACACCGGGCGGGCGCCGGTTCCCAGGCCCGGGCGCTCTGGGAATCTCCCACCGCGTTTTTTGAGGTTATTGACAAAGGTTTGGTTTTTTTTTTTTTTTCTGTTTTCTTTTTCTGTTTGTTTTTGTTTTTGTTTTTTTTTGTTTTTTTCCTGTCCTACCTACCACCATTGCTTGCGGTTTTTTTTTCCCCCCGTCTCTCTCCCCTCGGACAATAGCCATTATCTGAGCTAACAGGTCAATGTCACAGATAACGGGCCGCTGAGACGAATCCATCAGCATCTCCTGTCACTCGGCTTCTCGCCCTCCCCTCCGCTCTCCTTCTCCGGCCCCTCTTGGCCCCCCAGGGAAGAAAAAAATCACTTCTAGTCTGAAAAATGTATCTGCACTTAGAAAAAAAAAAAAAAAAAAAAGTGGGTGGCACTTCTGGATGGTGCAATAAAACATACAGCTCAGCCCTCTTATTTTTTCTTTTTCCCCTGCTCTCTTCCCAAAGCACATATAGGAGGATCTCGCCGTAGGGAGCCCGGGCTGTTCCAAACTTTGCGGACATTTGCGGCTTTGCGGCGCGGTTGGATTTCGGGTCCGTTTGCGGCGCCGGGAGAGCCCCGAGCCGGGGGGGCTGCGCTGCCCCTGGGAGGGAGCGGGCAGGTAGAGCCCGGCCTCCCGCCGCTCCATTCATGGGATTCGTTACCAAAGAAATAAAGGGGGGGTGGGGGAAAAATCGTTCAGGAAGCGGCGGCAAGCGGGGAGGTGATCCTGCCGCACCAAACGGGATCTTCGCGAAATTGGCCGGGGAGAAAAACAAAAAAAAATAAATAAAAAAAGAAGTTGCATTTCATTAAAAATCGTTATTAATAACCAGAGTGACGCGATGACGGGAACAATTCGGGTAACGCGCCGGCTCTCGGAGCGCCGGGAGCAGCCGAGCAGCCGTCGGGGCGAGCGCGGCGCGGCTCCCGCTCGCCGCAGCCCCCGCTGCGGGGCGGCCGCGACGGCGCTGCGGGCTCCGGGCACCGGGGCGAGCGGCGGCGGCCAATAAATAGAGGCGAGCGGCGAGGGCCCGAGGCACAGCGCACCGCCGGCCCCGGGCGGGGGATGCGTCCGGGGGGGGTTGGCGGGGGCTGCCCCCGCGGGCTGCCGGTGAGCCCCCGCGGCGGGGCCGCTCCTCCGCGACCTGGCGGTGACCCCCGGCCGCGGGGCCGCTGTCGCTTTAAGCGCGCCGGGAGCGCCGCCGCCCCGGACGGGGGGGCCGGGGAGGAGGGGGGGAAAGGCGGCCGGAGCGGCCGGGGCTGCCCCGCTTTAAAGAGACAGTGCCCGAAAGGGGAGCGGCGGGAGGGCACGGCCCGACGGGGTGGGCGGGGAGGGGGGGCGGAGAGGGCCGCGCCGGGCCGGGCCGGGCCGGGCGCTGCCCGGGGGTGCGGCGGGGG